AGTGACCCATTTATAACAGGAGTGACCCATTTATAACAGGAGTGACCCATTTATAACAGGAGTGACCCATTTATAGAATATATATAACAAACATTAATATTCCCATTCGCAGCCAGCGATCCGCCAGCAGGGCGGACCATGGTGCCACCAACATGCAACAGTCACCTCTGTGGTCATCCACCTATCTAGGAACACAGCACAAGGAGCAAACTGTGGGGGACAATGTCAACGTAATACAAAAACCAAAGACGGAGTGGACTATACCGCAGCACCCTCCAACCACCCAACAGTCACCGACAGATAACGGATAAAAACAAAAAAAGCTCCCAAAAATGAAGAACAACTAAACGGAACAGAATCAGCAAAACTCTTCCCTCAATAAATGAATCCCACACTCTCTAATAAAGTAAAGCGTGAACCAACCACAACTCCAAGCAAAGAGGCGTGGCCTGCAGGCGGCTGCAGTTTACGTCAGTTGTAGAGTTAGTAACATTTTACGGCACTTGAAAAACAAAAGTACGTCATGCGAGTGCCAAAGATTAGAGGTGTTCCTAGAGAGTAACATACAATAGGAAAGAGACATTTTCCTAGAGAGTAACATGATACAATAGGAAAGAAGGAGCAAACCATTCATGGTCATACAAAGAAAAGAAGGCAAAGAGATAAGGACAATAGACGTTTGATGGAAAAGACGGAGCAGACCACACAACCTGCCAACCACACACAGGAGCAGACCACACAAAAACACCTGCCAACCACACACAGGAGCAGACCACACACAGGAGCAGACCACACAAAAACAAAACACCTGCCAACCACACACAGGAGCAGACTAGAAAACCAGCACCACAGGAAACCATTAGAACGAGCAGACGGCTTTTCTCCAACAACTTTCGGAGATGACACAGCGGCCAATCAACAGCCACCGTCACTCAAGAGTCATGAACAAAAACTGCGACCAGACACACACAGACATATGCCGAGGGAGTGACAGACGGCGAGCAGTGGTGAAGTAGGACCTGCCACACCCACACAATGCATCCATCGCCCCTGGAGTTCGTCAGCAGTTTTTCCTCCAACGTCGTTGGAATGCACAGTTTAAAAATCCCTTTGCTAAACACTTCAAAGGGCGCTGACAGCCCTCACAGCACCTGTGCTCTATCGCAAAGG